ATATATATATATATATATATATATATATATATATATATATATTTGAACATTTCAAAACACTTGTAATAGACTTTAGATATGATATTTCATCAGGTTTACTTTATTATATTACAAATAGAACAAAATATATATTACAGTAATTATTTTTGTAGATTATTAATATCATGAAAATTGTAACATAACCCTATACTATAAAAAGTTTTACAGTTTGATAGGTCATTTGTTCATTCTTATAATATGTACATACATAAACATTTTAATGGAAAGATAGATGTGCACAAATAAAAATGTTATGTTTTTAATTAGTGTATTTTACATGATTCATTTGTTGTATTTTTTAGATAAATGTACATTAATATTCTTGGACTACATAATTGACAAAATACCTGGCTAAATACATAGCTAAACAGGTGCATAACCTAATAAATCTTTGAGAAGTTATTTAACTAAATAAAAGCACAGGTTGGAGAGATGGCTCAGAGGTTAAGAGCACTGGATGCTCTTCCAGAGGTCCTGAGTTCAATTCCCAGTAACCACATTGGGGCTTACAACCATCTATAAATAAAGGCACAAATAAGGATACAATGTTATGAACAGATTATGAAATCTTAATATTTACAGTTATTTTACATAATTGTTTTACTCTATATTTTGTGCTCTAGACATTCTAATGATGTTCTCAAGAGTTTCCAAGGAACCACCAAATATATGTACTATGCTAAATAACAATTTTATCTAGAGTTGCATGGAAGCCATGTCTTCCAGGAAGATAGAGATGTGTGATGAATAGGGATTACCATCAGCTTGTAATTAATTCAGGGTAAATAAAATCAATAATGTTGATACCCTGAAAGGAAGTGGAGGCTATACTGATTACCAATCCTGAACTTGTGTCAGATGACAAATTTGATGTGTTATAGTAGATAGCATGTCCCAAATCAGCAGAGTTCTGAGGGAAGAGATGACAGACAAAAGGGAGACATGGAAAAGACACACAACTTCTTCTTTTCTGAGGCCTTGGAGTGACCTGAGATGATGCCCAATGAGACTCAGAGCAATAAGCCTATACCAGGGAGTGCTTTTTGTAAGCATAGCTTTTTACTAAACTGTACTTTTTGTTAAATCATTAAATTGTTTGCAAATGCAAAGGATGCAGCATAAGCATTTTAGAAGCAAAGTGAACAGTATCTAGTGTACTATTATGTGCCTGTAAGTCTTTAAGTTATGACATTATAAAGCCATCGCCTGTTCACAGTTTAAACTATTGACTTTCCTTTATTCTTTTTGTCTAAATTCATTGTATATTTTATATACAGCAGGCATGAATGGGCTAGAATTGAAGTCTTAGCACATAAGAATCATTGCCTCTTCTAAGGTCCTCTCACATCTGTAAAGCAGGAATTTAAATGAATTTAAATCTCCCAATTATACACATTGACTTCCCAAACTTAGGTACCTTAAAGGGATTTTTTTTGTCACCACAAATTGTCTTGCTTATCAGTTTATAGAATTTCACAGTTATACCAACTAACATCTCCAGTATGATCAATCCATACTATACAAATTATCTGTGCTACTATAATAATTTTCTTGCTTCTTCCCTCCAGAAGAAATATATCTTCATTTCCTGATAAGGAAACAAAAACTTGGACATTTAAGTAGTTTGGTCAAAACCACGAAATCAGTAGTTAGGGAAAGTGGAGTTAGGATCTAACGTTCAATCTGCCTCTGTAGTGTCAATATTGAGTTAATTTTTGAACAGAATCACAAATCCATACTGAATTACAAATATAAAAGAAACGCTTACCTCTTTACTGTTTCCATTCCCAGACTTGCTTCTAGTGTCCTTGTTATCCAGATTTTCTATATCAGATTCTCCTGAAGCAATTGGCACTGTTTCTGAGGCACTGGGGCTAGCAATCAGTGATTGGCTCTCAGATTCAGTCACCGGGGTTTTCTCTGTGCCACTGCTCTTTTCCTTGTATCTCAGAAATGTTTGGGTGCCACTCAGTTCAGAAAGAGTGTGGCCAGAAATATTGTCTTTAACACTTGTATCACATATTTGGTCTTTTGCTTCCGTAGGAACAGTTCTTTTTGTGCACAATATTTTAAGAAGCACACAGTTTATTCCTTTCTTTATCCTGGCCATGGCAAGCTGAAAGTTTTTGGCTTCTTTGTTCACTTCTCGTGTTGTAGCATCATAAGAACTGACTGAGCACACCAATGCCACAAACAGGTAAAGTATCTTTAAAAAAAAAGGAAATGCAGCTAAATGTATATTGACTGTTTCCTTTTAAACAATAAAACATGCCTTTCAGAATTCTGATATGAGATATGAAAAGAGAAATGCATCACAGTGCTCAGTGTCAGGTGTGGTGCTAGCAGGCTGTGTGTACAGACTTCTTATTTTGTGGGTTGTTAATGCTGTCCTGGTTGTTTTGGCACTAGAGATTAAACATGGTGCCTTGTGATTGCTACTAGGCATTTTACCACTTCACCAAACAGAAGTAATTTTAAGTTTGTAATTTATGTAATTTAATGGTTTCTTTCTCCCAGGTGGAAACGATGAGGCTTATAGATTTCAAATCTAAAGGCCACTCTAGTTTGTCTTATTCCAAAACTTGTTACATCACGGAGCCAGGGTTTCTCAAAGTGAGAGAATGAATACTGTCTTAGAAACAGCTAATGTCACAAGTGTTATAGCCCAGTCCCAGAAAAACACACAAAGTCGCTGAGAAGCAAAGGGTAAGCTCCAGAGAGTTAGCCATGTGGCTGTGTTCCACATCTAACACTTTTTCAATATTTATTTATTTACTTATTTTTAATTTCATTTAACATTCCAACCACTTTTCTTTCTCCCTCTCCTCCCCCCTTGCCTCCCTCTCCAGTCCATCCCATATTCATTTCTCTCAATAGGGTAAGGGCTCCCATGAGGAGTCAACAAAGTCTGGCACATTAAGTTGGGGCAGGACCAAGACCCTCCCTTGTGCATTAAGGCTGAATATGGCATGAGGGGTGGAGTGGGAGAGCAATGAAAGAGATATATTGATAGAGAGAGCCACTATTGGGTTAGAGAGGAACCTGGTGCTAGGGAAGTTCCTAGGAATCCACAAGGATGACTCCACCTAAGACTCCTAGCAATAGTGGAGACGATACCTGAACTGAACTCCCCTATAATTAGATTGGTGGATACCCCAACTACTATGATAGAGCCTTCAGCCAATACTTTTTTTAAACTACAGATAAAGAGTCAATATGCTGTGGTTGCCAGCTAGGAGGTCAAGACAGTCTATGAGACCTCTAACAGTGGAGCCAGTCTTTATCCCTAGAGCACAAATGGACTTTGGGAGCCCATTCCCTATGGAGGAATACTATTACAACCCAGATACAGCTCAGGAGGCATAGGCCCTCCTCCAAATGATATGACAGACTTTGAAGGTCCCTGGTGGAGGGCCTCACTATCCCTGGGGAGAAGTTGTGGGATGGGTTGGGAGGGGTTGGTAGGGAACATGGGAGGATGGGAGGGTGAGGAAATGGGAGGATGTATATGTAAATATGTGTAGTAATTAAAGAATTTAAATAAAAATGGTCAATATGTAAAACATTGTCTCATAGGAAATGGATACAGGTTAGTTATAGAAAAATAATTTAAGAGTCATTGTATATTAATTATTATGACAAAATAGCATATATTTTTACTTTACTATCACTGAGAAATATAATCAACGCCTGTTTAATATAGAGGGACACATGGATCCCCCTGGGAAGGGAAATTAGATGAGATCTACTGTGTAAATTGGGGATAGGGGTGGTGATGGAGAGGGGTATGCAAATATGAGGGAACAGGATTATTAAGTGGGGGAGGGATGCATTGGAAGAGCAATGAAATAGAGAGCCACTATGGGGTTAGGGAGAAACCTGGTATAAGGGTAATTCCCAAGAATCCACAAGGATGAACCCAGCTAAGACTCCTAGCAACAGTGGGGAGGGTACCTGAACTGGCCTTCTCCTCTAATAAGATTGGTGAATACTACAACTATCATCATAGAGCCTCATCCAGCAATTGATAGAACCAGACACAGGGATCCACAACTAAGAACCAGGCCTAGCTCTGGGAATCCAGTCAAAGAGAGGGAGGAGGGAATATATGAGCAAAGAGATCAAGATCATGACAGAGAAATCTACAGAGACAGCTGAATCAAGCTAGTGGAAACTCATGAACTGTAGACTGACAGCAGTAGAGATTTCAGGGGATATAACTAGGCACTCCATTTGTGGGAGACAGTTGTGAAGCTTGGTCTATCAGAGGGGCCCCTGGCAGTAGGACAGGATACAAACCTGGTACATGAGCTACCTTGTTGGAGCCCATTCCCTATGGTGGGGAGCCATGCTCTGCCTGAATGTATGGGATATGGGCTTGGCCCTGCTCCAACCTATTGTGCCAGATTTTGTTGACCCCTCATGAGATCTGTTACCTGTGAGGAGGAGTGGACTGGGGATGGGCTGGAGAGGAGGCAAGGAGGGGTTGGAGAGAGAACTGTGGTTGGAATATAAAATGAAATTTAAAAGAATAAATAAATTATAAAAAATTTGAGGACTATCATTTTCTTAGAAGCAGTGAAGACTTCTTATTCAATTAATTTGACATCAGTTCAATGGTAAAGAAATTAAAAATGCATGCTTTCTCCCTTATACAATGCAACCTGTATATCCATTGGTTTGCAATCATTGCTGTACTGTTTGGTCAAAGTGTTAATAAAAATAATTCTAATGATTAGGACAATACTACATATCAATAGCATCAGAATCTCTGGGTGTGGATTCAAGGCACAAGCACAGCATTAACAATTCCCTAGGTAATTCCAGTGTGCAGGTAGGTTTTACAGCCAGTGTTACATTTAAGTGCTTCTTAAAACTTAATGGGCAAGCAAATCTTTGGGAATAGTGTTACAAGGGGGTTATGCTTCCATATGTCTGCATGGTATTAGAGACTGCAGGTCTAACCCATTTCCACATGATGTCAAAACTACTTTAACTAACAAGATTATGAACTATTTCAAGTCAATAGAAATATGATGGCAATCACACATGCAATTATAAAGAAAGGATATACTGGTGAGTTTTATTAAACTATATGTACTTTAATATTATTGTGACATAAATACTAAACTGCTAATAACATAAATTCTTTTGGGATAAGCCCAATATGTATTTCTCAGTACTACATATCTCAAATTGCTCTAATTGTATTTCAATTGATAATCACCAACTATCTACTATATTAGACAATCGAGCCATAAATTGCAGGATTACATCAATCCAGCACATACAAATGCATACAGTATACCAGCTGTTTTGTTAACAAAACTATAAAGGCATACAGCACTTACCAAAAAGTTTCCAATTAAAATGACCATCATGTAAAAAGGAACACACCAAGACTGGCTTGCGACCATCATACAGTCCCATAATGTCTCTATCCACTCTCCACAGAGAATTCGAAACACAATCATATAAGCGTGGAAGAAGTCAGTCATATGCCAACGGGGGAGTAGACAGTCTTCGTCTATGCGGCAGACACATTCTTTGTAACTTCGACCAAACAGTGTCATGCCAAACACAGCAGAGAAGTACACGAATAAGAACAGCAAGAAGACCAAGTCTTTCAGGGCCATCAATGTGTTACCAAGGATACGCACCAAATTCTCAAATGGTGGACCATATTTCCCCAATTTAATAAATATCAACTAATAAACAAATGTAAAATAAAAGAAAAACAACAAAAGATCAGTGTTGATTAAAATACATACTTGCATACTTCAGTGTTTCATCAGAATTGTGTAGTCATGAATATATAGCCTTTAAATGTATACCAATTTCAACATTAATAATAAAAGTGACTATTTTATATTCATAATTCATCTTACACATTTTATAATTTTATGTACTAAATCTATGCATATGTTTTAACATACTTGTTAAATCCCACTAAATACAGCAATTGTTATTGTTATAGATTTAAAAATTAACATCTGGTAGGGTAAATATACACTCTTCATTTTTGCTTTTCTTTATAACATATTGGGTTTGAAGAATAGATTTCTCCCACATTAATAGAGACAGAAACATTAAACACTAATTTCATTATGGAATGAATTTCACAGAGGATCCTAATATTTACCTCTTAAAATGTTTTCAACAGTGCCATTTTATGTTCAAGAACACGAGACATACTACAATAAAGTAAAAAAAAAAAATAGTTCTTAAATTCTACTTACCGGGAATAAAATAAAAACAGCTATCTCTTCAATACCTGCTAGAAAGGTTTCTGTTAATCCAAAACAGACAATTATACTGTCAAAAATGTTCCAGGTTACTTGGAAATACCCATATGGATGCAAAGCAATTATCTTCAAAATCATTTCTATTGTATAGATTCCAATAAAAACCTAAAAGGAAACCAAACATATGGGTAATAACGGTTCCCACAGCTGCATCTGTACCATGCATATAGACCTGTAAAGTGGAGGAAGCTCCATACTATTGCCTGCTGCACAGTTCTTTTCAGACCCTGGTTGGTTTCGGGGTCAATATTATAATAAATTCATATATTTATTTAATTTTCCATTTCAGGACTTATTTTATGGAATATCATTATATAATAAAAGCTCTTGAAAAAAATGGAGTATTGAAATAAAAGTGATTCCATTTTAAATATCTCCTTTGGAGATATCGAGTATATATGAAGACACTTAACAATTTATTATTGAGAGAGTATAAGAAGTACATTTATGTGCATTTATGTATATGCATACAGTAAAGATTGCCAAAAAGAGAAGAGGCTTTGAAACTGATGGAGAGTAGGGAGGCATACATAGGAAGATTTGAAGGGAGGAAAGGGAAGATGCTGCAAATATAATCTAAAACGGTACATATGTGATCTAGAAAAACTCCGGAATATATGTATGGAAATGACCTTCCAAAGGTTATACTATTTTTTTTAACAATTTTACTTATTTATTGGTGTGTGTGTGTGTGTGTGTGTGTGTGTGTGTGTGTGTGTGTGTGTGTGTGTGTGTGCGTGTGCGCGTGTGCGCGTGCGTGCGCGCAAGTGCGCACAAGCATGCAGGTAGATGCAGAGACCAGAATAGTCTCTGAAAAGCTGGAGTTACAGGCAGTTGTGAGTTCCCTGGTGTGGGTACTAGGAAGTCTAGGAACTGAACTTGGTCCTCTAAAAGAATAGTATGCACTCTTAATCACTGAACCATCTGCCTACATCCTCTTATTGCTTTAGTATCAAGGAAATGTACAGTTTGAAATGGTCTACCATTTTGTTTTGTGCATAGTACTTAGTGACTACATAACAAAAGGAGCTAAGAAATTTAGGCAACATACACTTGCTTGATGTTAACATGTTCATAAATCCATAAAAATCTATTTTATTGTTTTGCATGAGTGTATGAAAAGTTATACATGATTCTCAAAATACATTTCTAGGTGATAAACTCCAACGTAAGTTGAAGAGAGTCTTTGGAATGATGGGGCCTGGTACTGCTGTGGTCAGGGTTCAGATTTCAGAAGAAAGCTAACCGTGTTATTACCACACCCCTGGTGTATTCTCATTATAGGATAGTCATACCTAGAATGCATGCTTGAGAATGAAGAAACAATAAAACAATGAAACCCATTTAATTTCATTGCCAGAGGCATGCCAAGATTCCAAATTTAAATGATAGAATTTTGAACTCTAATTGTAAAAATGTTGATGAAAACTATATTTACAATGTACGGGATGGAGTGAACATGGTATGAACATAACATCCCATTCAACAGCAATACAATCCATACTTAGAGCAACAGAGTAGGGTTATAAAATAAAAAATGATGTTAGCAATTAAACAAAACCCTGAAACTATGAATGAAAACAATGTATGATGAGGTCTTACCAAATTTCCAATGCTAAGGAGAGGCATGATTTCTTCACTCATTGGAAAATGTTCAATGGCCAGGAAACATATGTTTAAAATGATGCATATGACAAGGAAAAGATCAGCAAATGGATGTGTTATAATTCTATCAGCAAAGTCGCTCAGTTTTATCCAACAGGGGGAGCAATCCCAGATGAAGCAGGTTTTAGCAAACTTAAGCCAATATAGAGGACATTTCTTCCTGGATGTTTCTGATTCTGAAATGAGAGAGGAAAATAGGCAATTATTCAAAAATTGTTCTGATTCTTCACTTGATCTTAGCCAAAAGGCCTAGAAGAGATTATTCTAATTCTTGATAGTAGACAAATTAAATATGTTCATGCAAAGGGTGCTACAGATCTTGATTTTATATCTGGAATTAGCAAATACCAATAGTCTATACTAACATATAGCAAAGTAAAACTCATGTCCTGTATTTTGTTTATGATTATTGAGCTAAAAATGTAATGTAAATGAAGCAAAAAATATATTAGTAGGAAAACATAAATTTCTTATAAATCAAGTGTAGGTGAGAATAACATGATTTTCAATTTCTATATTTATATGGTTTACATCGTAGTAGCTTCTAAAATTATCTGTGATAAAGAACCATTTGTTAGATGTAAAAACAAAAACGCCAATGAATCTAAAGCATCCTGAGATATCATGAATTTATAAGTACCTTTGAAAAACATGGGATTAGGGCAAAGACCTCTGCAGTTAAAGTCCAGATATAACTTCCCATTCCAACAGTAGTACTAATAGTCTGAAGCTGCACAGATTTACTAACTTAACATAACCATTCAGTTGCACACTCTTTATGTTTATTTGTGATGAAAATCTATGAACCATGGGAAACTGCAGCATGCAATTAATTGAAAGGACAAACTGCTTCAATGGATGTAATTAACAATGCGTGCACTTTCAGAAGATATTCAGACTTCGCCCATTGCAACAGCAGCAGGAGGTGGCTGCAAATTGATTATGCTAAATACTGAAGATAATGATATACAGCTGTGATTTATTCTACCTCTTTACATTTGTGTCTGTTTCTCTCAGCTTCAATGCTACTTCAATAATCGGTCTCTGATTATTTCTTGGTACTTTTTAATGACACTTTCTAATGTTGAAGACACCTTATTCATAAAGTTTCTATATTGCTCATCCTAATATCCTCATGTTATTACTTATGGTTTGCTTGTTCCCACCTAGATTTTAAAGAAACTGCATAATTACGTTTTGCAATTAGATCATTCATTACTGAGTAGACTCCAAATAGTTTTTCACTTTACCTTCTTCCTGTCTGAGAGTAGTCTCTTCCAGGATATCCAACGTAGTGTTCGCAGAAGTTGGTGATCTTTTCTTCATTTCTATTTCTGTAGTTTTCATCTAAAAAAAAAAAGGTTCAATGTGTTTTGTGGTAACTAGTTCTCACCCACCCCACATTTACAATCTGAATTTAACAGAATATAGAATTTGATCTTTCTACAAGCTTCTTGACTCTAGGGGCTTTCTGTGTTCAATTTCTAGTCACTTCCTATGGCATTGGCTGTATTAGAATTATTTCGAATTAATGGGACAATCAATGCTAAAATTTGAAGTCAATCAAATTTTCTACTCTGAGCCTAACAATAAATAGAGCAGAGTAGTAAATACTAGCAGTGCTGTTTATAGTTGAAAAAATAATTTAATAAGGATTATAAGATGATTCTGGAATATCTAGTTGCCCAATGTTCTAGTGAATAATGGGAATATTTCCCTAATACCATAATCCTTTTGCTCAGGGATATACTAATTTAAAAGTTGGCCAATTTTCTCAATATAACTAAATTTTTTGAAAATATGATTAAATAAATCTTAAAGAATCTAAGATAGCAGAATGGATTTGAAGGTTTTTTTAGATAGTATTTGGTTTTTGGGGGGGTTTCAAAGCAGGGTTTCTCTGTGGCTATGGAGGTTTGGATAGTATGTGTATGACAGTAAATCAGTGGAAATTATCTAACTTCGTAAATGTATGATTTCTACCATATCTTCAGTGTTATTTTCAACATATTCTCTGCCTCATTTATTTTTGTATTTTTCATTTGCTTATTATTTATTTATTTATTTATTTATTTATTTTGTGTGTGTGTTTGTGTTCACATATGAAGTTAGAAGACATTTTTTTTGCAGTCAGATCTCTTTTATACATGTGGTTCCCTGGGATGGAACTCAGGCCATCAACCTTGCTTGTGTTTTCCCAATCTTGAAACAATTTTAAAAGAGTTCTTGCATTGAAAGCTACTCTAAAATTCCTAGGCTTTGGTATTAATTGTTCAGTTTTATCCAATTGTAATAATCTCAGAAAGATCCAAAGAAATCTCCTGTGATGGTAAGTTGAAGTGTTGCACATGTCTAGAGATGACCAGCAATCACAGTCTATCAATATACCAGAGTCTGGTTGGCATAGTCTGCTATTTGACAATTTCTGATATTGTAATCTGATGTAGCTAAATAGAGATTAAAGATATCACTGCATTTATCTCAGTGTCAATTAGGTTTCCTCAGGTTTCATAGTGAACAGAGGCAGAGGACATTAAGAGCAACTATATAACACACCAAATTATCAGGAAAGTGAGACCCTTCAGATCTACAGCATGTCATCCCTCATTTTATAACTAGGTTAAAATGTAAAATAAAATTTAGGATGTAAGTTTAATTGTTTACTGAAACTACAAATATTCAAGAAAATATTTAACTGAATTACAAGAGTATATAAAACTGATGCTATAACTCATACAAATTCTAGGAGACAAAATTCAACAAGTGAAATTTCTTTTTGCCTGGAGATAACTCTGGTCTTCTGACAGATTCATTGTTTTTTTTTCTCCCCAATAGACCAAGAGATTTTTAGGAAACAAAATACTGTAATTACATATATCAAATCTTATCTTCAATATTTAGGAAACTGTAAATACTATTTTGATTAATTGCATAAATATCATGAGGATGCCGGTTTATAGGTACCTCACACTTTTCAAATCACTTGCATTATTCTGGTTTTTAAATATTGCATTCTTTCCCTGAAGTTTTACCAGTGGCTAATGGTGTATAGGAGAATCGCCCTTGTAAACTGTCATTTTAGAATCATATTGCCTTGCCTTGGCACTGGGCCACAAGAACTGTTAGGTAGATAGCAGGCTGCAGCAGAATAGAGATAATTTAAGGTGAACTACTCTGACATAGAGGTCTTTGGACCACACCACCAGTATCCTGGTGATACTAGAAAAAGAAGCTTCACAAATGCCCTGTAGGTATTTAAAATACCAGATAGGAAGGTAGATCAGTTTCTCTGAGGCCCATCAATGAAACCTACTTCTACCTGGTCAAAAGAATGGAATCTGAGTTCAACCTCCACCCCAGGATGGAGATAGGACATTCTGATTGGCCTCCAAAATTAGAACATTTCATACCTTTGTCTTCTCCATTAAGAGTTATGTTTCATAAAATTAACATTTTATTCTTATGAACTAATTTACATATATAATGTGAATTTTTTCTTGTAGATGTCATATTTTCTATCTGGATGTGATGGTTAATGTCTATAATCCCTGAAGAATGGAGCCTGATGAAGGAGGCCTGAGGAGGAGATCTAGGCCAGTCTCAACTACATTAGGAGACTTTATATCAACAAAGAAAGAAAAAACAAAGATCAAGTGTTATTAATCGGCAATGCTGATTGTGATAAATCGAAGCTATCTTTTATGTGCTCTATGATACTGATGATGAACTTACTAACATTTCTTCTCATAACATGTTTTGCTGTCTAAAAAAATATTAAAACACCACACAGTGTTTTGCATGTGTTTCATTTGGGCTTTTATACCACCTGCATATCAGGTAACTCATATGATACTTAATTTATTGATAAAGAAGCTGAAGTTTCCCAGGATTGATATAGTTGGTGAATATCACATATCTATTGTGTGGCAAAAGTGAACTGAAGCCCTCATTTATCTGACTGTACCTGTGTCAACAAAATTCTCAGATTATCTACAGTATAAGAATTTGTCTCATGTATGCCACCTCTTTGTAAACCTTTCCTTAGTATTGGAACTTGACCCATTTCAAACGGTCATTTAGCAAATGAATTCTCTCCTGGCATGTTACGATGTATAAATACAAAGGGAAAAGAAAAGATCTTATGAAAATGGATCTTATTTTCAGTTTCCAGAAAACTCTATGTGGGAAATGTCCTCAAATCTTTCCAGAAAATAAAGGCTTCATAACTCAAAGATTTTAATAAAAACCAGGAAAGCTTTATTACAAACAAATTTTATCAAAGTGAAAGAAAAAAATCCAGGAAATGCCAAAGTCCTTTCATAATCAGAGCTATTTCATAATCAGAGCTAATAGAACACTTCATCTAGGAATAAGAGAAGTATTGTTAAGCTGTTGGGTACACTGAGATGTAGTGGCAAGCTTTTGAGATTCTGAATTTCTACTTTAAAACATTACACAGTCAACATTTCCTTCGGACCCTACGAGTTCAATCTGAAATCTTGGGACTTGTAGAGACAGAAAGCTTTTTGTAATTTCCTGCCTTACAACTTATTTATGAGTGATAATAGCTTCTTTTTGCACATGTTTTGTTCATACAGTCCATAATTGCTTCTTGTTCAATGGCATGCATGTTATGGATGCAAGAGCCTATGAAGTCACTGGGTACATTCCTACATCTTGTTATTCAAGTCCTATTTCGGGTATAGTTATTTCCCAGAGATTGTTCAGTGTTGATCATTACATGTATAGAGGGTTTGTTCATTCTTACCAAATTATATTAAGAAAGAAGAAGTATATAAAGGACAGTGAAGTAAGATGACAAAAGAGAGTCATTTTTAGTGAAACCAACCACATTGTGAAATATTTATTTTATTTTAATGAAGCATTTATGTGGCTGGGTGTACATGTATGCGTGAGGGCTTGTGTGTGTGCTGTTTATCTACACTGGATACATGTGCTTTTGGAATTCAGAAGAGAGTGACAAAGTCCCTTGAAGCTGTAGTTTCAGGTAGTTGTGGTGACTGATATGGGTACTGGGCATCATATTCACATCTGCAAGAGTAGTACATACTCTTAACTGATCAGCCATCTTTCCAGCCCCAACAAGAGCAATTTTTTCCTGATATTGTACTATGCACAGATATCATCATCTGTCACAAGGACATACACTCCAAGTTTTTGAGAAGTTCTTATGATATTATCATGAATCTTAAAATGACAAATTTGTACCTTGGTTGCTTCATTTCCTTCCTCATTTTCTTTCATAGTCTGTTGAAGTTTAAGTTCCACATCTCTGGGTTTTTGAGAAACTCTCTGCTTTTCCTTTTCATAGGTCATAGCAAGTATTCCCAAGAACAAACTTGCCATATAAAAAGCAAACCAGAAACTGATCACAACAAAAAATATCATGTAGACCTTTCCTGAAGCATAAAGGATCTGCGAAGAGGTGGGACACAGAAGAAGAGAGAGCTACTATTTATCTTTATCTTTCTGTATCTTACTCATTTAAGATGAAAAATTAAATTATGCTATAAAAGTAATTTAGTCATGAATTCAATATATTCAAAACACAATTTATGTCTTTAGGCACTACCTGAAGAAAGAAATGAAAATTGTTTCAACTTTAAATATACACATATGGTATAAAACATATGCTATCAAATCAAGAGACCAAATTATGGATTCCCCTAATTTAGGGTGTCTATTTAATCCATGTCTTCATTACCAGAGTAAACACAGCAAACAAAAATTATTCACCATGTGCAATAAAGAAGATGCAAAATACCGATACAGAAAATTCTTTCTCTCTTGGAATAATTTCAAAATGTGTTGCAAAGATCATTTTCTCTGATCATTAATTTATGGGGAAGTCACAATGTGCAAACCTTGGCTGATAGAAGAGATGTTTCTCATCCTATCAGAACTATGTCTGATGAAGTCTTTAGAAAAATGCATGAGACTTATGCAACATAATTATAAGAAGAAATATTTATGGACAGTTGAATACAGAATTTTATGTTTCTGTGATGAACATGATTGTTTTTGATTTTATAATAATTATATATGCTAGGTCAAAACAAATTTAGAAAAATGTAAGTAGAAAATAAAATTGATTTATGTCCAATGACTAAATATATATGAATACATCTAACTGAATTTTTTTTATTTTTAAACAAAGAGAAAAATATTATCTAAAGAAAACATTTTGTGGCTAAACAAAGTTTAGGATGGCTTTTGAATAGTAAGACGTTCCAAATTTATTCTGAAACAATGTCTTATTTCCACAGAACATGTTAGTTTTTAAAAAGTGATTTTAGTAACCTATTAGTACATTAAGACAATTATTCATGATTTTATCAAATATTTATGGCACTTAAGTAAGTAGCTGCTATTAACACTAATCCATTCTGTAGACAGGAGTGAGAAGTCTAGAATTTGCTACTGGTCATGAAAAAAAGGATCATATATTTCATATCCTATCCAGTAACTCTTGTATATGATATTCAATACTATTTTCAATAAGCATATCATGGTCATACTGTGGAAATGCTCTTCACAATCTTAGATCTAGGATAGATTAGATTTTACATATGATTATAATATAGACTAAAAGTACACACACACACACACACACACACACACACACACACACACACACACACACACACACACACACACAAGGGGTTGTTTAACATGGGGTTGTTATACAGCTCAGGCCAGCCAGCATCAAATTTACAATTCTCCTGCCTCAGTGGCTGGCATTACAGGTGTGTACCATCTACCTATACTCAAAATATGTGTCCTTGTTAGAGTAAGGGGGAAATTTTTTTGTTTTGTTAGGTCTCAGTATAAAAATAACTAATTATAGAACTGATTCCACAGAGTTTATATGAGGATAAAATGATGCAAGTTCTTAGCAAATGGCAGATCCACAATAAACTTTAACTATTCTGTTGAACTCATTTCTATGTATGGGGGCTGGAAAAAGCTTTGCTCATGTTTGTACTAATGTGTTTCAAGGAATACCTGGATCAAACATAATATTGCCTAAAATTTTTGCCTATACTACTTGGGAACACTACAAAATTTCCTGAGTCTTGAACAATTGAGATTAGAGAGATGATAAGCAAAATCTACCATCAAATAAAAGTGATTATTATACAATAAAGATGCTGGAATAAGAAATTAAAGTAATGAGCAGATTCCAAGCCTGAGTGCTTCCAAGATTCTGTTCCCTTTTCACTTGAAGAACATAAGCCTGACTTTAAAATCATGCTACCTACACAGTTTTATAACATGCATTTGGATGATTTTTTTTTAAAGCAAAGGCTTCACTACTATACAGATTGACATAGTTCACAACATTGCACTTATTGTTTCTTTTAATTAAAATAAGACAGAATCCTTTTTGGGAAGTTTGCTTCCTAATGAGGGACATATCTACACAAACACTTACAATGGTACATCATGAGGTTGACTACATTGCATTCTCTCTGAAAGGAGCCCCAAATGCAATTTGACTCTTAATCATGACAGAAGAAAACTTTAGTTTCTTGGAGTTTAAAATATACATGGGGACAATTTTAAGAAAAGGCCATTCAGGAAATGTCTTACTTCATCATCGAATACAGCAGGTATCGTAAAGGACACTATATCATACATATGGGCTTTGAACAAAAGTCCAAAGATCAAAACAAAAATTAGAAAGGATTTTGAGGGAGGATAATTTAGCAAAATATCTAGGCACTTTCAGGAATAAGAAGCTTTGAGTGCTATGGTAGAAGCAGACACTTGTCATAAATGGCAGAAAATAAAAATGTAAACACTACCATAAAGAAATTAGAAATCAGTTTACACAACAAGATATGTTACTTGTGGCATTTTAATAACTTTCTTTTTGCACACGCCTTTAATATCAGCTCTCAGGAGGCAGGCAAAGGTAGATTTCCATGAGTTCAAGTCCAATTTGTTTACACAAAGAGCTCCCAATCAGCCAGTTACACACACACACACACACAGACCATGTCTCAAAAAAAAAAAAAAAAACCCAAATAACAACAATAGGAAAATCAAAACCAAGACACAAACAAGTAAATAAAAATCCAGAATACAATTCTACTTTACAAATGTGTAGTATGCTTGATTTTGATTTCCACTTAGGAATACATTATCATCCGTTGATTATGTTTAAAAAACATTACATTCTGCAATCATTTTAAAGACTTATTTTAGTTTTCCTCTCTCTCTCTCTCTTTCTCTCTCTCTCTGTGTGTGTGTGTGTGTTTCTGCATGTGTGTTTTTACACATGCTTGGGGGTGCATACAGAAATAAGAAGAAGGCCCCAAATTCCCTGAAGCTGGAAATACAGGGGTGTGTGAGCCACCTAATAAAGGTCTAGGAAAGAAATTCAGGTCCTTTGGAATACAAGAAAGTTCTCTAATCTACTGAGAGGTCTCTGTAGACTGTTTCCTATCATTTTTAAGGACCACATGTGCACACATAGATATATTATAACAATTTAGATATAATAGAAGAATATTTTGGTATGTGACTTTTTTTTGGTGGTGGAAGTGCCAACTTGTATAGCCACTGTGGAAATCAGTATGGTGACTCCTCAAGAAAATGGGAATGAGTCTACCACAAAATCCAGCAATTCCACTCCTAGGCATATACCCAAAAGAAGCACATTCATATAACAAGGACATATGTTCAACCATGTTCATAGCAGCATTATTTGTAATAACAAGAAACTGGAAGCAGCCTAGATGCCCCTCAACCGAAGAATGGATAGAAAAATTGTGGTACATTTACACAATGCAGTCCTACTCAGCAGAAAAAACAATGGAATCTTGAAATTTGCAGGAAAATGGATGGAACTCGAAGAAACCATTCTGAGCGAGATATTCCAATCACAAAAAGACAAACATGATATGTACTCATTTATATGTGGACCTGCTTTATGATACATAGTAGTGACCATGCTTTATCAGAGCTGTTTTTAATGATGTTGCTCAGAATGGATTCCTCCCAGATGATAACTGAGAAGCTAATTTTTAAAAAAATGGTGCCAAGTACCACAAGAGTAACAGAACTGTGCTGTTTTCGGGGATTTTGTTTTTTCCTTTTTTTGTTGTTGTTTGTTTGTTTTGTTTTAAATGGAGTGTGCTGAATGTCTCTACAATTTTGTTCAAATGACTGCAGAACCTGGAAAAGCTGTTGCTGCTATTGATGCATAACATATTGCCATTATTGCTCTCTATATATATATATCTATATCTATCTATATATCTATGTATCTATCTATATATCTATATATCTATATATATATAGATATATATTTGAAACTCAAATATATGATGAATCCAAGCTGTTTCAGTGAGTGCTCACCTGTGCATGCAAATTTGATTTCATATTTTGTAAGTGGTATGTGACTTTTTATAGGATCCTATTCTTCAATCATAATTACTGTCATTTTCACCAAAGCTTAAGTGACTATCTGCAAAAGACCCTCACGGTCAGACCTATTGACTGTTGACATTGTAGATAGGAGTTGTCATTGGAACCTCACCAAAGACTCTAGCCATTGTCTATTGTATTGTATACTAGCAATCTGTAAATAATTCTGCCCTAATTGTATGTGTGGCCTAGTAGACTCTAGAGGTTCTATAGTATATGAACTGTGGATTTTGGTATATCATTGGCACCATCTCTAAGGGGAACAAGACATTTGTTTATATTGACCAAGTGAAACAGCTCTCTTAACACAACACATCTTTAAAAGAAGAATACTCTCAACTCTAAAAAACTTTTGGAATTCGGCATAATCACTCTGTTCCTTTATCTTTGGATATTAACTATGCTGTTTCTATCATAACATCATATAGTTCACAGTAATAGAAATATTCTTTAATGGAACTCTGAATGTCTATTGTAACAAGTGACATCCCTTCCTGAGATGCTGTTGTACAAAAGTATCTATGAAGGCAAATTCTTAAAATTTGGATATTGTGTTCATAACACTAAGACTTCTATCATCACATCAGGAGCACTCTTTAATATTTAAGCAGAAAGCATAAAATAGGATAGAAAGAAATGGAAAATTCACTTACTAAAATATTTAATGCATGCCTATCTCACAGGCCCACAATATTTTCATTCAATAATTATTACCTAGAAATGTTCTTTGTATACATCACATATAATAAACAGGTCAGCATTATGGCTTTTGGAGCAAGAAAGTGAGCTCCAGTGGTTACCTTTGGAAATTTGAAGACATTATTCAATCCACTCAACTTTTACTTTCTTATCTAAAAAAATAAGTAAACGGATGTTCTCAATGAATTCATGTTGGGCTGAAAGTGTATATGTTTCACATGTGCTTACTGTGTCTGACCAAACAAATAACACAGCTCAACATTATGCACCCACCACAGCAGATGGCTGCTTCCACTCGGACCATGTGGTGGGTAGTTCTGAAGCAGCTGTCAGAAGAAAAAGTATTAGAATGCATGGGGCAAGTTCAGAGCCTGAAATCTGAGTGTGACTACTATGGAATTATATCACTTTGGAACCTCAGTGAAATGCTTGCAAACCTAAATGATTCCAACCTAAAGGTGGAATGTCCTAAGTGAAATGCTTGCAAACCAGGGTCTGTGTTTTGACCCTGGAGTATGGCTGTGAAGATGAATTATTAAAGACCAAACACAGACTGGGCACAGGCATTAATTGAGAGTTTCACATTCACCAGCTGTGAGTCTTTGCTTTTGTCCCTGAATTCTTCTTCACACAAATATCCCCTAACAAATACACTTTCTGTCTCTCTCTCTCTCACTCTCTTTCTCTGTGTCAGTCTCTGGGTGAGCATGTGTAGTCACATGTTTCTTTTTAACAACTTGACTTACATTTTGGGCCGTATTTTGCAATGGCGGAGAAAAAGGCTTTAACATCTTTGGATTGTGTAATCTGCAGATTATTTTAGATTATCTTCTTACCTGGTGATAGAGTAATTCAGGGTAATCCTGGGTCATCAATCGAAACAAAGCAAAGAAGGCCCAACCAAAATTGTCAAAACTCGTGAAACCATTGTCAGGATTTGTGCCCTCTTTTACACACACATAACCTTCAGGACACTGGCTAAAGAATAGAAAAAAGGAAGACATGTTCACTATAAAGCAACTTTCAGGCAATAGACCAATCATAAATACTATCTAGCCTTTGCCTAGGAGCACAGAACTATCTCCTTGCCAAAGGTAAACAATTTTCTTTTTACAGAAAACACTAAACATGAGATATATTCCAGGTTGATTCACTTGAAAAGTGTTGAACACAAATTATAAGTACTCTCGTTAGTTTTCAAAAAGATCATTCTTTAATGATTTAATTGATAAAAGGTATATATTTATCACATATATGTTTTTAATAATCATACAATGTTGAATCGCTAAATTATGCTAATATATGCATAGTTCACATATCTACAAAAACCGTGACAAAGATATTTACCAACTTCAAGAACATAATGTACTGTTATTATTCATCATTTTGATGTTCAAAATCAAATTGGAGAAGCTGAAACTGTGACTCAATGGTAAACTCTCTAGTATTTTGAGTCCTTCAGTTCAAGCCATAACAGAAAAGCACAGGAGAGAAGGGAGAGGGAGGGAGGGTGGGAGGGAGAGAGAGAGAGACAGAGAGAGAGAGAGAGAGAGAGAGAGACGAGAGAGAGAGAGAGAGAGAGAGAGAGAGAGAGAGAGGAAGAGAGACAGTGGGAGAGCGAGAGGGGGGAAGGGAGAGAGTCAGAGACAGAGAGGAAAGGGAGGGTGGAAGGATTGGAAAATCTGTGAATATCATAGAAAAAGTATAATAAATGTTAGAAAATAGCACTGATAAAAATAAAATACAATATTTGAGAGCTTAATTTTCAAGTGATCTCACCTCAGACCCTTAGTTCCCATTATTTAAGGGTGAGAAAACATTTGTCACATTAATAATTGAAAAGCAGAGATAGAACTTGTGGGGAAAAAAGCACATTAAATATTTACTTCCTTCCCTTTCAGGGAGTTCTCAAACTTTTATCTATGTAAGGATGGAGTAATGTGGCTCCTTATGGTATTGGCTCAATAAATGCTATTTTTTTTCTATACAAGCCTTTGCGTAGTTTCTCCCTGACATTATTTGGGGGTTAGCCAAGTTGTGTGCATTAGACATATAATGGAAGACACAGTGGTTTAAAACACCTGTGTACCAAGGCTTGCTGGACTGCAGTCCCAAGAATTAGAGCAAAGGCATGCTTATTGTTATAGTCATCTAATAACTTGGGTTACCTTACCATGCTTGAAACTACAGTGTTAGAGAGGAAACACAATATGGCTTTTGTTCATTGCCTTGAAATATAACACTGTGTCCTTAATATTCACAGCCAGATGCCTTCCCAAGGAATATGGATTATATTTGAAGAAGAGGGTTACTGAATATGATGTTATAAAGAGAAGGGATCAAAAGCTGGATTTGAGGATAGAATGGAAACTACGTGATAAAGCTTCTACATCATCCAGATTTATATAAACTATACATGTGTGCTTTCTTCTCCTTAGTGCTTTAGGCATCCCAGAATGTAAGGGGAAAACAATAAAAAAGCATCCTATGGATGGATGGACAGCAGATTGCAACTGAGAGCAAAGCAATAAGTACCACATCTAAGTTCATATGGCTAGTAGTGGCTTGTTGTTATTTTCTTATTTGTTTCCTTATATTCTACAGGATGCAACCAGTAAGATGGCTAAGGGGGCTAAGTCACTTGTCACCTGGCTTGATAACCTATGTTCAATTCTTTGAACTCACACTGTGGAAGAGAGAATCAACTCATGCAAAGTTGTCCTCTGATCTCCATGTGTGCCATGACACACACCCTCATATATAGGTAATAAATAGGAGTTCGTGTTAGCAACACATGAAAATTATGTTGCCCTGCTGAATAATTATTTACAAATATTTTAAGTAATTTTATTAACGTAAAAACACATATAAAATACATTTAGACACAACATAAGTAAAATTACAGTACATCTTAAATGTTTCTCTTCTTTAAAAATTCACAAACATATATGTTGAGGGCCTAGGTCAGTCATATGCAAGCTCGCTCATTGTCGGTTCAATCTTTGTGAGCCCCTATGAGCCCAGGTTAGTTGATTCTGTGGGTTTTCTTGAGGTGCCCTTGACAACTCTGGCTCCTAGAGTCCTTTCTGCTCTGCTTCTGTAGGATTCCCTGAACTCTGTCTAATGTTTGGCTGTGGATCTGCATCTGTTTCCATCAGTTATTGGATGAAGCCACTCTGATGACAATATGCTACAGTTGTGTAGCTTGGTCCTCTTGTAGTACTCCTAACAATGGGAACAGAGACTGTCTCCAACTCTTTTACTGACTTTTGGGATGCTACTCGTCATACTGGGTTGTCTTGCCCAGCCTTAATATATGGAGAGGTGCTTAGTCTTACTGCAACTTGATAAGCCATGTTTTGTTGATAGTCATGGAAGACCTGCCCTTTCCTACATGATAAAGAAAGAGGAGTGGATTGGAAGGTGGACCAGATGAGGAGGTGGGGTTGGGACTGAGAGGAGAGGAGGGAAGGGGAACTACAGCAAGGATGTAAAATAGAGCAAGCATCATAGCCAACTGTTGGACACTTACGCAAAGGTAGAAATTTAAGCCTGCCTGAATGAGGAATGCATTTCTTTTATTTATAAGATTTGGGGTCTGTGGCATTTTGTTATAAACTTCTTAAACAGAATAAGACAACTCTTTGGCACAGCTTTGTTAAAGTAAGAAAATATAAGTCAACTGAGAATTGTAGTAAATCACACATTCATTTGAAGAGTAAGTGTTAATGATTAGTTAGAAGAAAGCCTTACCCCTACCTACCCAGCATCTGTCCTATTGCCGCAAAGGAGAGCATCTCTCTCTCCTTCCAAATAGTAGAAGTTTGCTCTTTCTGAAAAAAATAAGAAAGAAATGAGATTCTGTGTTTAATCTTGAGTCAGCCACACGAAGCCCATACGGATTTCCATAGGAGTTGCACATCTGTCTATGCCTAATACTTTATAAATACAACATTTCCTGTAATTTTTAATATGCCATTGACAAAATGGAGATTATCAAGATTTACAGTAGTATGCATCAAGAAAGACTCAGAAAAATTACAATATTATGCTTCAACAAAATACAAAGATTCAGATTTCTGTTTTGTTTGGTTGCTTGTTTATGTTTTTAGTAACCAATAAAGTAGCAATAATTGCTTATTTTAAATAATTAGCATATTTTAGTGATTGCATTGGGAAGACCAGTGGGTACTTCAGTTGGGAACAGGATTTAATGTGCACCTCCCTTGATTTCCACGCTAGATTTAGTACTGGGATGTATATGGAAAAGAAATGAAATATTAAGCATGTTCATGTGCTCTTACAAGTCCCTGTTGCAGCACTATCACACTATGAGTTGGTCAAGGAGCTCAACTGTAATTATTTCTTCTAGTGTTTATGAAACACAATAAAAATGGAATTAACACAGGGGGCTGCATAAGACTATATTTTTAATAGAAGAACACAGACACATTCCCTAAATATTGCCAATGGAAGCCTAATCTGAGACAAGAGTCCAATGTAAGTTTCTTGCCTGGTGAAAAGGTTTTCAAGTCAGTCTTTGCCTGAATAGAATCCCATTTTTCCCTGCCTAGGAGTTATAAAACCCTGGAATATAATTAAATTCCTTTCTTTTCCTATTCTGTTGCTGATGATAGCAGGGCTATTACTATGTCTCCTCTGAAAATATCATGATGAATATACATGTATTTACTGATGTCCAAAAGCTAAGAAATTATATTTCATTTGTTATTTTATACTTAAAACATTTTTCTTTCTATAAAAAGCAGAACTAAAATATTTTAAAAGTACATTAGTAACTGAAATCTTACCATTGTAAGAATTTACATATTAAGGTGATACTCTAACATTTAGAGCAATCACAAACATTATAACAGATAAACTAAATATTTGCACTTTAATAAACAATTCTTTAAATAGTGGCAAAAATAAACTTTAAGCTCCCTGGAATGAATTTAAAAATAAAATCTTTATGATTTTATGAAATTTAGGTTCTCCTGATTAACTCTGAAAATTGGGTAATTTATTATTGTGATTAAAACAAAAAGAAAAACAGATTTGAATTAGTTCTTTTTTTTGGTTTGTGATTATACTTAATTTTTTCCCTTTTTTATTTGAATTAGTTCTTGGGTATACTTAGAACATTTATAATTTGCTCAGAAACAGAGTCTTCATTTCTCTAAAGACTTTTTATCATTAGATGGAGTCATTCTTACCTGTAGTATAATACTGGCTTCCAGTTCTGTTGTGCACAGTTTCAGTTTCATTTTCTTGTGGCCAACGCAGACATTTGTGCTTTAGATTGCCCATGAAGAGGCCCATCCCCAATAGTGAAAATACAGTCAGAAAAAACAGAGTTAGGACAATGGCACCAAACAATTTCTTAAAACACTGGGTAAGTGTTGCCACAATTGACAGCAGGCCTGGAAAAAAAAAAGGCACATATTTTTAATCTAAGAAAGAGAAACGTATTTCTAACAAAGCAGTTACAGCAAACCTCTCCTGTGGAAAAATACCTGTCCCTTTGAAATCAGTTAGTTTGTCCTTCATTCTAATTCCTATTGCCTGTGCCTAACAAATATTGGGAGCCAAAGTCACAGCTAGAGGGTTCTATGTCATTGCTGGTTATGACACTTGATGAGATAGTTCGGATACACCATTTTAGTGGGTGCTTGCTTGAATAGCTGGCTTGTTGTGTCAATACCCAGGCTGTTCATACAGTAAAGAAACACAAATAGGCTTTGATTTAAAATATTGTGTCTGAATTATCTAGTAAAGCTACCTTTCTATTTTTAAGGATTTCTTTCGTTAACAACCCAAAATAAACAAGTTCTAATACATTTTGGGAAAGCTCATATTTTACATTTGCTCAGGTGTCTTTTCAGGATCACCAATAATGCAGAATACAAAATGTGGTTTTCTCTACTTTGTTACTTTACCCGACTATCAGCCGAAACAGAATCTCTTTAGACGTCCTTCATACTATGCCTTAGTTTGGTGCATTGATAATAACACATTTTACTTATATGGCTACTTATCAAGCATCTTATAATTGATGTCAATATTCACCTTAAAATGTGAGGCTAGATCTCTTTTATCTAATTTTCATTTTCTGCCAGAGAGATATAGGTTTTCTTATGTTGAAATCCTCAAAATCAGATGACTGATTCTGTGGGGGATATATCTTGTATTGGTAACCACAGCTTTGGGGAGTTGATGTGTGCAACAGCCAGGTTGTGTCCCAGTGAAGAGCCACACTCATATATTATGGGCAGCACTAATTAGATTCAAGGGTGAATTAATATCTCAAAAAAATGTTGGGCATTGGGATAGAGATGGAGTGGGGTTCTAGAGTGTGCTGGAGGAAGGTGGCAGAGGATGAGTATGATCAGTAAACAATTGTAAAGACTAAAAACATTCTAAAATTGAATAAAATACCACATGCTTTTTTCTTGTTTTTATTTAATGCACAGATGAAATTACTTTCTTCTGAATGATGCATTTCTCTTCCTGTCTTGTACTATCTGTTCAGGTAGGGTATATTGTAGGCAGGTGCCCTACTCTGCTTTTGTTGGATAAGGAAGAGCCACAAACAACATATCCACTCCTAACTCTAGTGGCATATCTTTTTTTTAATTGACTAAAATTTGCTCATATTTCTTAAAAATCCCTCTGGTGAAGATGAAAATGCTGCCATTTTATGTTCTTATTGTTCTCAATGTACAAAGAAAGTTAAAGGTATCATGTTCCCTCCAGAACAAAACTATTTGGTTTATTCCCTGGTTTTGATTGGATGGCTATACCACAAGCTACTTTTGTCAAATATATTTACTGGGTTGTAATTTAGAGGTCCTAAAATATCCATGCTTAATATACTCAACTTGATGTTTTAAAATATGTATAAGTTGTTTCTAAAGATGTGCCTTAGTCCCAAGAGACTCCATTTTTATAAACAGCTTTTGACCACAATGTGAGGGTCGAGATGATTGTGGTCCTCATGGGACTTGCAAACAGTCCATCTACCTTGCACTCACAGAAAGACAGATGGTATTCCAGGAAGTATAAAGTGTGTTTCCTTTTAAATTTACCTGAGTAAACTGAGACTGTAGGGGTGCATGAGCATATTAAAATCATCTCAGGCAATCTAGGCCCAAGATTTTTTGGACAGGCTGGGTTGAAGAAAGGGTGTGACTTATTTTTATCACCTGAACCCAACAAGATGATAGAAAGTTAACAAGGCAGAGTAAAGTCATGGATACATGGTGTGTGGTAAGGATCCTGTGTATGATCCTGTTTGCTTCAGTTCTTCCATTACTGATGCAGCATACACTCCTGGCATCTGCTTGTCTCCAGACTCACCTGCTGATGCTGAGTCTGCAGTCTCTAAACTGACCTGATTTCTGACCTTTACCTTACAGCAGGACTTAATTCTTCATTTTCATTCTCAATCGTGAACCTTCCGGTGGCCTCAACATAAACTTGTTCCCTAAATCTGATTTAGGTTCACTGTTATTAACACACAGTCTACACACATTTTTCTCAGTCTATTCCAAAACCTCTTAAACTCTGCTGTATTCTCTCAAACTTGTATGTATTCTGTAAACCATATTGATAGAGGCTATAGCTACATTTATTGTGTGTTCTATGTTGTATGATATGAGCATTAATATGAGCGACTAAGATTGAAATAAAACAGTCTATATTGATCTTGGTCAGACTACCAAGATTGACAGGATTTTCCGGCAAACTTCTGAAATTGAAACATTTCACCTGCTGAATTCATTGCATTTTGCTGAATTCTGTCACTGTGTAAAGTCACAAACTTGTTCATCTGTTTCTTACAAAGCATGCTGATAACAATATTAGTCTATGTTCACTCATTTCAACTGGTTTCTTGATAAAAAGAAGAAAAGAAGGAGTCACAGCAGCATTTTAGAATCTCTGTTTTTTTGGAATTTAAGGAATCTAAGGAATATTTATAATTTCTCTTTCAATATGTAAAGATAATTGAAAGTGAAATCATGATTGATTTTTAATCCATATTTTTCCATCACAAGTATTAAAGTCCCACAACATAAGAGTCAAATGTATTGTTTTTCTTGCCTTTCCTGGTTGACTAGTAAATTTAAGGTTTATATGACTTAAGATGATTTTCAAAGTGGAAATATTGTTCAACTTCCCATATTTTCTGAGTAATAAGACAGTTCAAACATATCCACAGATGTACAAAAAATGCAATGAAAATAAAGAATCAAATATAACTTCTTACCTTGGATCAAAGGAATAAGCTTCAAAATTCTCAAGGTTCTAATAGTTTTAAGCAATAGAAGGAAGTTTAGAGGCGAAAACCTTGTGATAAGCCTGTGGGAGTAATTGGAGTTATTTAGAAGTCATTGAATCTATGGCTTTTGAAAGGTACTATAAAAATTATGTTTCCAAGAATTTCCCCTGCTCCCATTATTGCATTCTAGAAATAGTTTTATTGTTGATTGGAAGCCAAATTTGCTCTGAACAAGGTAGCTACTATGTAGTAGTAGTTCACAAATACAAACTTTGAGATTATAACTCTTTTACTCTATGCTAGATTAGATGTGGAACCACAGTCTATAATAAATGTATAAAATGTTGTTGCCTTCTTATAAAAATGACAGTGAAAATTAAACCTGTGAGCTGGTTCTAAAAATAGGAATACGATTCATCTTAAGTATTTAAACTCCTGCTGATGAAGAACATAATGGTGACTAGTGATAAGAGCAAAAGGCAGGATGGATACTGTGTAAGAGAATCTATACTGCAGCCAGAATGCCTGGGTAGAATTGACACTACTGTTTTCTAGTTGCCAGACAGGAAATATGGTTAATATTTTGTTCCACAATTACCTCAGTATTAAAGTGGTTATATTTCTTTATTCAGAGGACTTTGTGGGGATTTAAAGTAATAATGTATTCAAATTTCATAGATGTGAACATATAAACAATTCATACTATCTGTACCAAGTTTAGATAAGTCTTAGCTAGCAACAAAGTGAACAGAAATGGGAATAGAAATGACAATAATTATAATGATATTGGTGATTACCTTTAATTTTTACCATATGGTAGACACTGTATTTCATGTTCATAAAAATCATTTTTAAGAAAAAGTGAAATCTGTTTTAAAATTATTTTAACAGAAATTTGCCTCTACTAATCATTTTCACATCCACAAAAGAGGATACAGTCAATACAAGCAATGGAAAATTAGAAAAGAAATAACATTATACCTAACACTGGAGAAATGTGAGTATTTAAACACTTTATTCAGACATTTAGCATACTTACTTGTCTCAGACCATGGGCTAACAGTTCAGTATTGAGTCTCAAGTAAGCTAGAGACTTCCCCTAAATCTTAAGGATGTCCTGAACTCAACAACAAAAATTAAAAAACTGTTACAGTGAATTATTATAAGACATTTTACTTTTCCACAAGACAGCAACCAAGCCCATTCCTTTCAAATATAATGGCCACCTAGAGAGGGTTGCCTGAGGAACTCATGATAACTGAAATCCTTAAAATGTTTGCAATGTGAAAAGCTACTCACTCAAACAAAGTTACACTGAAATCAAGCCAGTTCCATAGATCCCCAAGGAAGGAAAACGACCCTGCCCAGACACCTCTTGCAATGACTTTTACAATTATTTCAAATGTGTAAATTCCAAGAAAAGTATTCCTGCAAGAAAAAAAATCACACAAATGTTTACTCTTGAGGATAGTACATTGTCAACTCTGAAATTTTATGTCTGTGACAGATATCCACTATGAAAAACAAATCATCTGGAAAGTAAAGTTTTATCTGTTGGTAAGGCAGAAACAGTCAATCACACAAGGAACCAAGATCCTGTTCCCCTTGAACTTTAACTGTATAGAGGCCCTCAGTGATACCCTGTGGTGGCCTTGCTTAACTTGATGACCTCTTCTCAATAGTTCTGATTCAGAGGTTATATATAATGTTTATAGTATGTAGGTAAATTATGAAAATATCAAATATATCCTATATAGAGATTTTAACATAATTAATTATGGTACTATTCAAATCCCAATTCAATACAAATGTTTTCAAGAAAACACACACACACACACACACACACACACACACACACACACACAGAGTTGTTTTGAATAGAGTTAAAGCTCAAAGTTATTGTCTAGAAGCCTTATTTTCTAAAAAAAAATGTAATTAGGTTTTTCTTTAGTCTACTGAAAATCAGACTCTTTAGATTTCCAAGAACAGTGAAAAATATAAAACTGACAATTATTAATGAGTGGAAATAATAAAACTTTGAAGAAGAAAGAAATCAACCTGAAGTGAAACCTCATACATTTGATACCATGGTATGTATAGACAGCAAACGACTTAAACATTCCAACTAATATAATTAAACCCTCAGTCTATTTAGAGCTGTAGATATTTAAACTGATAATACACACTTATAATGCCATGACTCAAGAGTCTGAGATAGGAGGTTCTGTGTAAAGGCAAATAAGAGCTCAACAGTAAGCATGGGTCAAAACAACACTAACAAAAAAGTAAGAATAATGAAAGGACAGGAAAATCCTCAAATTGATGAATTAACATATGCTTATGTATAGTTTTTATTTAGCAAATTCAATAACAGTGTTCATATCAGTATGCCCCACAAATATACCAGTATATGAAAATAGAAATATTAAATTGTGGATTGTCATCCAAGTGTCTACATATTGGGAACTTGGTTCCATTGTGGTGATGTAAGATTAAATGGATTCTTTAAGACACGGGGCCTATTTGGAGTTCCTTGTGTTACTGATATACCTACTCACTTGTTTCTACAAGACTCATGAGAGGAGTAGTAGAAAAACTGAGGCTGGCTTCCTGTAATTCATTGGCTTAAGGTCAAATTACTGCTTCTAACAGAACTCCTGCTCTTTCCATGGGGCACAGTTTAATGTAGCAGAAATGACCTAATTGGAATTGAAACCTAACAACGGGTGCTGTATCCTTGAACCTTTAAAGTTGTGGGACAAATAAACCTCTTGTCTTCATGTTTTTTTTTAAATTAAAAGTTTTAAAAAGTTAAAGTGTATTATGTTTCAATACATAACATATTTCATAATTAATATAATAAATAAATTAAAAATGTTAAAAACTATAATATAATTACAGATTATTTTACATATAATAAAACTAAGTAACTTACTGTACTGTTATTGTCCATTGTGGTGGATTGCTCATGGACATAAAAAAGCTGTCAGTGAGGACACTAATTAAAATCAGAAGGCGAAAGAGAGTAAGCCATGGTCAAGGAATAATGGATAATGAATTACATTAGAAAGGGCCTAATATATAAATTGTATTTATATATACAAGGGATAAGATCATTTTATAAATATTGAAAACACATGTTATTTGTATTGAAAATTAAGGATTAACATTTGTTAAACTATTTTCACTATTTTATTAAGCTCTATTTTCCATGTGTTTTCAAATGCTGAAAAATTATCCCCAAATATCCAGTATTTAATATGATGACATAAAGTACCAATTAGAAAGCAGAGTTCTACAGCACAGGTTGAATAACAGAACATCTGGACTTGTTACTAAGGTACTGAAGGCAAAGCCTGGTCAAATAACAGCATCTGGACTTGTTATTAGTGCATTGAAGACACAACCAACTCCCCTTAGAAAGGATATGGATTCACCAAAATCTTGATAGCCACTCTTCTGAGAGAGCTGAAAGGAGACAATGTGCAGAAGATAGAAACTGCATTGAACCTGAATATTACTCTGTTTCTGTTTAAAACCATGAAAGTCTGTAAGAAACCACAGAAAATACAGTTAACTAGGAAGGCACAACTTAAGCAACACACTGCTAATGCTCAGGAGCCTGAAATTTGGTCATCTTTTCCAGGGCTTTGACATCTAATTATAGTCAAAGTAAAAAGAAGTGGTTTTCATTTATGTTTAGACTTAGCTTTGCTTTGTTTTGCTGGTTATATACTGGGGAAAGTCATTTACCATGCTATCACAGTCCTGTCTTCCAATCGATCTACTGTAACAGAAAACACTCCAGATGGTGCATGGATTTGCACTTAAAGGTATAGGAGGGGCTATATTTCAACTACATGAATGGGGGATTTTTAATTTTATACCAGGGAAAATCAATGTATATTATTATAAAAGCAAAGAAGAGCCAACATTTTGAAATATCACATTAATCACTTAAATTATTTATGAGGGAGGGGCTGGAGGAAGGACAAGTAGAGGAAATGCAATGCAATTCTATTTTAATTAAAATGTATTAAAAATAAAACAAGTAAAAAATAAATCCTACAAATTAATGCTTGAAAAATCTAATTTATTGGTATGATTGGTATGAACCCATCTAAAAATAGTAATTCATATAGCATAGACACAAGGACTTTGGATATTAAAGCATTAAATTTAAGAATAGAAATATTCTAATATTGAAATTGATCCATATATATGTGGATGTGTGTTTCTGTATGTGTATATGCATGTGGGCTTGTATACATTGGTATTTTGTGCATTTTAAATTTATATAATATATATATATATATACATATATATATATGGTAACTGAAAGTATAAGTTATAAGTGCATGTGTATTCACTATATATGTCCCTTCAGTGAAACTATTAGTTGTGGGATGTGCATAAACATATTCTTTCTGGTGATGTATCTCGGTGACAGACAGACCTTAGCCTTCAGCAAGCTCTGTTTGATCTCCTTAACCTTGAAAAAAAATTGTTGTAAGTAGTGTATATTATAAAATCTTTGAGATAAGATGGCAAACTTTATAATATAACATACAGTGCAAAATACAGTAAAAGGTATTATTATAATCAAAATTGGGTATTAATTCTTTTTCTTCCTAGGGATTCACATACAATAGGCAAAATCTCTTTCATTATTTATACTGAGACTCTAAGTTCTTTTTTCTTCTGATACATAGTTTCATTAAGTTGTGTAGGCTTGCCTTGAACTGACACTTTAGAACACACAGGACTTGAATGTGCAATATTTTTGTCTAGTGAAAATTACCGACCTGGCCACCAGGCCTGGGTTAAAAATAATCTTATATACTAAAACAGTCTACTCTATAGTCAATGATAATAATACAGGGAATATGACTTGTTTCTATCTATATTGACAGATACATATAAAAATACAGGAATGTATAACTGCTGAAACGTCAGCATGCATTACGGCTCCAACTGGAAACCACTCTGTGCCTCAATTCTTAGGAAAGAGAAATTCAACATGTAGCTATGGGGGCTTTGTTCTTACATTAAAAGAATTCTTCCATCTACACTAAAATAAACTAAATGGTGAGAAAAATATATATTATTATTTAAACTCTACTTTCCATGGTACCTTGCAGAACAATTGCAAACTTCATGGGAAGTACAATGTGTGTGTGTGGGTGGGTGTGTGCGTGTGCGTGTGCGTGTGATTATTAAGGGATAAGTAATTTTGGGTTGTGCTGCAATTATTTTCTTAATTTTATGATTAACTCTATGCTCTCTTGAGAATAAGTCAAAGATATCCCAGCTATTCAAAATAATTGATTTTAGTGAAAACAGCACTTACTGTATGAAGTCATCATTGCAGGTTTTACCCAAGGTACTTCATAACAGCTAGGGCCATGATTAACTCTGTATCTTGTTTTATTTTTATTTATTTTCTTTATATGAGTTTTTAGATATATTTAATATTTAATTATTCAAATAATAAGTTTTGATTATATTCTTTCCCCTTTCTCAGCTCCTCCCACTTGTCCACACCTCCCTAATTATGCATGTTCTCTCTTTCTCAAAAAAGAACAAAAGGCAATAGCAAACAAATTAGAAGAGAAAAAAAAACACAAAAAATCAGGACAATATATACATATAAAAATTAAAAATACATGGAGTCTGTTTTGTGTTGGCCAACTACTCCTGGGAATATGATCTGTCATGAAGTATTTGTTTTATTTTTTAAGACCGTGGTTCTGTATTCAACAAGGAAGCTGATGCTTCCAGCATACATTACACAGTTCTCAGACTGCAGCTTCAGGAGTAGCCATCACCATTGTGACCTAAACACACAAAAAACTAAGTGCTGAAATATTTCAGATGAGGACTCAATTTACATTTTAACTGAAATGTGCTCAAAATACCTCAAGTGATACTTGTACCATGAGAGTATTACAGAGATGTAGCTGTGAACTGTGTGTATGTGTGCATGTGTGTATTCATAGATTTTCATTCAACTTGATTTCTCTCATTAGATAACAGTAGTGAATTTTATATATGGCTACCAAAATACTAGCAGAAAATCCCATATTCCCCCAATTTAATACACTACTTTTGTCAGTGGCATTTCACTCTTCCATGCTGTAAACACTGGCAATATCTATCAGCCATATCCTGTTGTTTCTTTTCCTGATATTACATAGGACAGTGGACAGCAGGGTTCTCCCCCTCATCTCTCTTTTCCTCTATCTCTGTCCTCCCCTTTCTTCTTCTCCCATAATACAAACATTTTATGATGGCTTTAAAATTGATAATCAGAAGACAGCAGTCATCATATTTCCACAAAAGCCATTTATATTGATGCATATCAGTGCATACACTATTTTAACCAAAAATAACATACTTATCCCTCCCCCTCTCATTTCTCTATCTCTTCCTCTCTTTTCCCCATTTCACCCTTCCTTCTCTCCCCCATCAACTTCTCTTTCTTCTCTCCCTACCCCTTTAACCCTCTCCTTTGCTTTATCTTCTATCATTGTTTGATCCTTTCTTTCTAATTTAGAAAGCTGCTAGGTAAGTTTTAGTGAACTGCCACTGCCATGACATATGTCCTTTGATCGCTACATCAAGTCCATCTGGAGCTCTCCATAATCTCATCTTTTCCACCATCGAAAACATAACAGAATTTCCAGTAATAGCATTTCTCTTTCTACACTCCCCTCACAGAATCAACCTTTGCTGTTGCCTCTCCACTTGTCCATAAAAGGTTCTCTCTTGCCCTTATCAGAATTCCAAGTATGCTGCACAATGTAACTGAACTTTTACCTTACTTCATTTTATTATTTCATGTGTATAATTGTTTTTGCCTTCATGTACCCATGATCCATGTGTGTGCCTAGTGCCCAGCATGACCAAAAGAGGGCTTCAAATTCTCTGGAACTACAATTACAAAAAGTTGTGAGCTGCTGGGCAGGTTCTGGGACTCAAAGTCGTGACCTCTTACAGACCAGCCAGTTCTTAACCAGAGAGACATTTCTCTAACCTCTGAATTGTGCTTTTAAGATGGAAACTCTTCTAGCTGAATCAATCTACATAGATTTCTGTATTTTCTAACAAAAGCCATTTCATACTTAGCATTTTGTTCTTGTTCTGGGAGAGAGAGAGAGAGAGAGAGAGAGAGAGAGAGAGAGAGAGAATCCATAATTAATTTTTAGGTCTTTCTGCAAATGAGACAGATTTTAATTTGTGAATATATGAATTAGTGAATACATAAATATAGATGTATATTATGACCAGTGAATAAATTTCGGCCCATAGCCCATATTCTAATTATTTTATGATTATTTTAAAATTGATAATCAGAAAAAGGCCATTAGCATAGTCCCACAAAAGCAATTTATATTAAGGAATACAGTACATATGCTAAATTCATTAACCTTAACATAATACTCAGATGTTATATGAGATTTATTAGTTATCATGAATACATTAACCTCACATACAATATATTATGAAAGAGCTCTTTCTCTATTATTTTTAAGTCTTATCTGGATTATATTTTAAGCAGCAGAAAATAAACTAAAATATAGTTTCAATAATGATGATTTAATCCTTACATTTCTTTTAACATAGTAATATGGATCCATATCTTCCAAAGGCTCCGACACCATTCCTTGGGGAAGGGTTCCATAGGTAAATGGAAGTTGTTTGCCAGCTTCCAAATAAGGGCTTGGCTTTAAATCTTCTTCTTCATGCTCTTCATTGCATTTTTTAGCAACATGATTTTCTATGAGTTCTAGTGACTCTGCTGTAAAGGGAACAAGGCCCTTTGGCTCTGGGGATGTCAACATTTTCAATTTGTACCTGTAAAAAATATATATGTAAAAATTGGGCATGTGTAAAGTCATTATATCAGGAAATTGTCACTGCTCCTTGAACTCAGTGAGAAGCTCTGGAAGTGGGGCTGTCCACTGCCACTTCAGACCCAAACTTGGCTGTTAAACTCTAGGGTCTCAGCTGATTGCCTCAATTACCACAGTTGGTTTCTGATGGATGTTGTAAGCCTTTTCTGTCATGTGATTTCTCTCTATTGCTATATTTTATTTTAATTGAATGTTTTACTTGAGTAAAACATTCTCGTTCCACCCAGGACTATCAATCTATAACTCCAGCTGGCAACCTCAGTGGGGCTTCTCCAGTTGACTCTCCTTTCTCTTTTAAGCATTTGATTTAATGATCCTTCCCTCCTCTACTATAACCTAATATTCCTATAGATCCCTCCCTCGCTTTTATTTTTATTTTATTTTGCCTTCTTATATACCTACTAGACTCAAATAAAAATCAAAAGTAAGAATATTATGGATCATTCTCTGGACTACACAGGACTTTATTGTCTCAAAATTTAAACTTACATTTCAAGATATGAAAAATAGATCCCCCAAACTCAGTAGGTGTATTTAAAGAGATCATACCTCAGTTTCATAGAGCTATAAGAGTTTGTCATTTTATTATACTTACTATTAGTCTCTTTTGGAATTTCATTTAGTCTTTTCTTGAATTCTTCTGTCTTGATTTATTTCTGCCTCTCCACTGTAATTGAAGACTTTTAACGGTACAAAAGGTCTTTTTAATGGTCAAATCTAACTATTTCCTATGTGCTACATATAACCACCAACTATTTGTATGGTCTCCAATGACACTGGGACCCACTGTTCTTGTGTTTAGATTTGGACTGACCTTAATCCATGAACATGAGTTATTATTTCATGGATGCCTTTTTGTGGTGCAAGGATGAAGCCAGAGGCTTGCTTGCACTTGGAAAGTGCTCTTCTACTGAGATATGTCTCCAGGAATAATGATCAAATTTTGATCACATTTTAACTCTGATACCCTTAAGATTCTGCCTTTCTCCTATGTTATAGAAATATTTCAGATGATTGCAAAGGAGTTGCATCATTCCCTGTATATGGATATCTACCAACTACAGTTCTAAAATACTTTCTTCTCTTGCGTGTTTTTGTGGCATTTTCACCACTAAAGCAACATACAAAAGGTTTTTCTTTAAGTTTTTCTTTAACAATTATGACGAATAGTCATTATACCATGGTCATTTTTTTAAGAGAAAGAAAAAGGAAGGTTATATAATTGGGGAAGTGTGGAGGATCTGGGAGGAGTAGGGCGAGGGGAAACCAGAGTATATCATATGAAAAAAACTATTAAAAATACAGACAAAAGAAAAGGCAAAAAAACCACACCAAATCACAAATTCATGACTAGAAAGTTACTCAGGACATTTATCTCTGTCATAAACCTCTGTTTGCATGACACAATTTTGTGATACTTTTTCATTATGATTGTGAATACTGTCCAGTTACACAACTACATGAAGACATCTATATTTACAGTACTTTTTTGACATATTTGAGTAATTGTCAGGTTTCAATTCTGCTTTTCACCTATGTGAACAGACCCTGTCCTTCATTGTACACCATCAGTTCACCGAATATTCAGTGTTCCACCAATGAGTCTTTTTCCATTTTAACACATAGAAATGTGATTGTTTTTAAAGATACATTTTGTTATTGTTAAATTGTTACAATATACAATAACATATATATTGTGAATATATATAATGTATATATAAATATAATATGTAAATATATAAATAAAGCCTGATAAGTGAGTTTAGTTTTAGTTAAATATTTATGCCATAATTTTATTATATAGTAAGTTTAGGTAATGGTTGCCTAAATCAAACACCCTTAGTGATGTTTCTCATTTTCCCTCCCTCCCTCTCTTTCTGTATTGTACTCTCCATTTCCAGTTAAAGCTACCCTTCCTTTTTTTTCAGTTTTTCTCATTCACCCTTCATATCTCCTGTACTCTGCTATTTCCCTCTATATAGCCTGTCCCCTACACCTCATCACGGTCCCTTTTTTTACTTTCTTGTTTTCTGTTGGTTTTCCAGATTATAGACTGATATCTGAAGGTTTGGTGCTAGGGACCAGCTGAGATGAGAAAGAGCATATGGCAACTTTTCTTTCTAGGTTTGGGTGATTATCACTCAATACAATTTTTAGTCCCATCCACTTACCTGAAGATTTTCTTTTCCTTGCAAACAAGTAGTATTCTATTGTATATGTAACAGATTTCCAGTACCTATTTATCAGTTGGAGGACATTTAGGAAGTTTCCCTTGCCCAGGTATTGTGAATATAACTTTCCAGTATTTATTCATATCTCAAAAATGTTGTGAATGAAAAGATGCTCTATTGTCCATCTTATGGATTCCTTTTCCCTTGAAGTAGTTTCTTGTGACCATAAAGAGATATTTTCACCTTAGTGATTGTCAACATCAGAGTCCTTAAAACATGGTCATGGCCTAGATGTGAAGCAACTCCAAAGAGAGAACCCTGGCAGGAAGTTCAGCATACGGCTATGTGGCACTCACATCCCATAGGTATGCTATAAAATGAAAAACCTCCCACCATAACATAAGATTATTTTCTAAATGTCTTGTTTGATATATACATAAACCTGAAACTTCTTAAAAAGTTTGCTAAGAGTTACCAACATGCATAACATGCACAAACTCAGACTCATGCTATACAAATAATGACACTTCATAATTTTGTGGATTGTCAAAGTGCTTTGAATAAGTGCGATTTATGTTACAGGTAATAATTTTCTCATGAAAATTTTATTATGCAATGTTTGATGAGTTCTATAAAATTATACTCAGCATAGGCATCTTTGTGTATAAACTGGTTTATTAATGGCTGATGTTTAAAATTCTAAATGTTAATTGCTATTACTGTGTCATGGTATAATACACCTTGAGGCCAAAAGGAATTACTGAATCTTCTGTTTGTGCTTTTAGTGTTCATCTGTTTTCTTCTGCAGCCAAGTGTTATCAGATGTTGTCTTGCTATTTCTTAGTCGCTTGTTTGATTTATAAAATTAAGAAGTAAATTTGAAGGGTGATTGCCTATAGCTAGTTCAAAAAATAAGAAACAGGTCAAGAACTTCCTTTTACATTCACATAATATTTGTGCTCTAGATTTTTACCATGGGTCTTGCTTCCTTAACAATGAAAAAATAATAAAATGTATAATAAAAATTATAACATGGTTCAACATTTAAAAACATGCATGATAGGAGAATATTGTAATACCATAGGCTTATAAGTATTTCCACCAAAGCCACTTTGACCAAGGACTATAACCTATCCAATCCCTTATTATCTTATGTGACTTTTAAACTGATAAATTAAATTTAGGTTGTGGTGCGGAATAGCCAATGGAAATAAATGAAACAAATAAAATCACAAATACTGAAATTGGGTAGATTCACATTCAGATTTGAAATTGCTCTTATTTTTTACAGAAATGAAGTCAAGTTAATTATATATTTAACTTGATTTTTCAGTCATACAACTGAGATTACTTTTGAGTTCAAGATGCAATAATATACATTGGCCAAAAGTCTGGTACAGTAATCACATAATAGATACAAGGTCAATATAAATTTTTCTAAGATTTACTTTTTATTTTTATTTCTTGTTCATGAGGGTTTTGCCTGCCTGTGTGTCCATGCACCATAAGCATGTAGTGCGTGGGGAGTCCAGAAGAGGGCACTGGAACCCCTAGAACTGGCTTTATGCATGGTTGTTAGCCACATGATTCTAGGGTGTCAAATCTGTGTCCTCTGGAAATGCAGTTGGTGAGCTTAACAACTGGGCCATTTCTCCAGTCCCTTAAAAATAATTTTATTTGTGATAACATTTGGTTTGTGGATCAAATGTAAAAAAACCACATATAATGACAGTGCATATAGATACAAAAGTCTGTACTAGATATATCCATCTGCACCAGGACAACAGGGAAGAGATATGCTTTGTAACAGAGAAAACAGTCAATGTGTCTTGCTTAATATCAATATCAAGTCAGTACCAATTTCTCTTGCCAAGAAAGATAATATAACCTAAGCCTGTGTTGACATAAGATGGAGAGGGAATCCTTCTCTTTTCAGTATCAGTAAACTGGAACAAAATCTTTTTGATAAAAATAAAAGACACTGTGGAAAGTTTGACTAAAAGAATAGAGGGTGTGTCCTAGTGACACAGAAAGGGCACATGGTGGAAATTCACTGCTTCAAAGTTTCTGAAGGATTTCATGTGGGAGAGAACTAGGTACCTATCATGGAGGAAGAACTAGAATCAATGAGCTGATAGCAGAACAGATTTGCTTTTAAGATAGTGTTTTCTAAAATTGAATGAGTTGATGTGGGCAACATGCCTCACCTTAATAGTTGGGTGGGATGTTTGCAATAGATACAAACATTGATTGATAATGTCAATATTATGTAATCTTAGAACAATCAAATGTTAACATATTATTATTGATTTTTTTTTGCACAGCATCACAGGATATAAAGGTTAGCTGAGGCTGAAGGATTAAGAATTCAGAATAGGGGGACTTACAGCACCATCACACCCATCCTAAAATAATTCTTATATTTATTGCTTTTAGAAGCACTTACATGGCTAGCTCACAATATTAAACTCTTGTGTATTAAAATTACATTTATTAGCACTAGACATTTAGGAGATGTTTCAATCTCATTATACAATGCTGTCATTAATTGAAATAGTCTAGACATACTTCACTGAACTTCAAGATTCAATTTAACAGTCTACTTTCTCATCTTAAAGTCCAAATATACCACTTTTCTGTACCACATATTGGTGAAATAACCAATGATTCTTTCTTTTAGGATAGGGAACATTAGTAAAATTCTCAGAATTTGAGACCCTTCATATATATGCAATGTAAACTGTTATTGGATTAAATCAAACGACATAGA